TAGTTAAACTTAAGGGGGCTAATCAATATACAGTATATTTCAAGAAACTAAGACTTAAGGTACTCCACTTTTTCAGTTGTTTCAAGACTGAAATACATTTTTCATTTATATTTTAAGTGTAAATTCATTTAAATTTAAAATTGTTAACTCAAAGCAGGTATTACACACTTTGTAATTAACATTGATGCATTTATAAATCAAAAATCACAATTGAAATAAAAAAAAATGTTCCTGAGATTCAATATCTTTAACAACATGTACAAACATTACTACAAATTAAACCACGAGGGTCCTAGAAATGCGGTCCTGAAACTGCAGCCTCCGCTATATTATCCAATTCGGTAGGTGGCGCTGTTACAAAAGAATAGGGTCCTAGAACTGTGGTCCTGAAACTGCAGTCTCCGGTTGTGCAGGAACATACTATTGGCGTTTTTTGCGCGCTCAAGTTCATTATTTCAAATGAAGACGCGCAGCAGGCACGGTCATAATGGAAGCGACGTGCTCATTTTTCCCAGGCGCTTCCGCGCCAACGCTTTGGAAAAAAGCAGAAAGCGGCGCGCCTAGCGTTTTCCACGCGTTTTTAGGCGCGATATGTGAATGGCCCTTAAGGGGCCATTCACATATGGCGTCTTTTGCGCACTCAAGTTCGTTATTTCAAACGTAGCCGCGCGGCAGGCGCGCTCATAATGGAAGTGACGTGGTCGCGACGCGCACGCGGTGCGACGCGCTCATTTTTTCCAGGCGCTTCCGCGCCGCATCGAGATGAAAACATTTCAACTTTTCAGAATGTTTTTCCGAACGCTTTGGAAAAAAGGGGCCGTTCACTAGCGTTTTCCACGCGTTTTTAGGCGCACCATATGAATGGCTCCTTAAGGGGTGCGACGCGCTCAGTTTTTCCAGGCGCGTCCGCGCCGCATCGAGATAAAAACATTTCAACTTTTCAGAATGCCGCAAGCGCACCGTGGGTCATGTGACAAGAACCAACCAATCAGCTTCATCCTTTCCCGTAACAACATTGAAAGCTCAGTCAAGATGAAGGAACAGCTGATAATAGCTGTACAGGCATAGCCATTTTTAAATAAATTTAGTAGCAGGACAGTAAGTAATTTTCTTTCTGATGTTTGATTTACATTATTGACACAAATGGTAACAGTAGCTATATTAGGCTGCTTTATAGTTCACCCAAAATTGAAAATTCTGTTGATGTTCTAAACCTGTATGAGATTCCTTCATGCTGTTGAACACAAAATAATATATTTGGAACAATTAGTCTTCACTGTATAAATTCAATATACATTCATTCTTATTTATTTTACAAAAGTGATTCAGTCAAGGACAGTAAGTTATTTTCTTTCTGATGTTTGATTTACATTATTGACCCAAATGGTAACAGCAGCTATATTAGGCTGCATTATAGTTCACCCAAAAATGAAAATTCTGTTGATGTTCTAAACCTGTATGAGATTCCTTCATGCTGTTGAACACAAAAGAATATATTTGGAACAATATTGGTAACCAAACAGTTGCTGGGCCCTCACTACTTCCATATATGAGAAGAAAAAAAAGAAAAAAAAAAACACTATTGGAGTCAGTTGGGACCAGAAACGGGTTACGATCATTCTAAAGGAAATTCGTAGAGGTTTAGAACAATTTGTGGGTAAGTATATGATGACAGTATCTTCATTTTTGGGTGAATATCCTTTTAAGATCTCATCATATAGGCTAAGGATCTCATATAGCCTAACACATGCTTTATCTTTAACCGCAAAGACGGGCATTTTGAAACGTAACTGTGTATTTGACCGTTTAAGCACAAGGAGCGAAAGTTTAGTCAGTAATACGAGCAGGTGTATCAGGTAGAAACCGTTTTAACGCACGCATTTACCAGAATGAATTCTGCCCCGCAGCGTAATGCCCATGAACAGTATAAACCATTTGTTTTAAACCCTGCTTAAAACGTCTTGAAATGGTAAGATTAGACTACATCACGACGCGCTTCAATCAACGATTGATATATTTCTACTGGATTATCTCCCAACCATTAAATGAATATAGTTTGTTCAATCACATAAACAATATAAATCCAGTTCATAATCAAACTAACCTCAAATCTGTGTGGACGATGACACTGTTTTTATCTGCTCCGTGTGCCCGGTTCACTTGCTGTTCCAGCAACTTCCACTCCATCATCAGCGTTAGTAAAATAACCTGATAGCTGGGGAATTTACTAAGTCATGTTTTTTATGTTGTTTGTATTTGAAGTTTTTCGTTTTTTGAGCCCCTCTCTCTTTTAGAATTGCTGACATTTTTACTTATTGAATGTTGTTCTTTGCAAGACCATTTCCAGATTACTCCAGAACAAAGTGAAGAAAGGTGAATGCAGACATACTGGGCAGCAATCACCTGATAGATACGTGCGCATATCATTCAAAAGTCAAATATAGAATAAATGCATTTGATTGGTAAACCAACTGATCATAGCTGTACAGGGATAGCCATTTTTAAATAAATTTAGTAGCAGAGCTACTGCAAGCGATTTTTAGTGCTGCAAATCCATTTATCCTTTGCTGAAACTTCCGAGTCTTCATGGAGAGCGCAGACCATGGTTGCTTCGCAACGGCAGACGCCTCCGGAGCGCAAGCGCCCGAACGCGTTGGAAAAAAGCAGAAAGCAGCGCGCCTAGCGTTTTCCACGCGTTTTTAGGCGCGACATGTGAACGGCCCCTAAGCAATCAAAACCGACAAATCTCTTTATATTACACTGGACCAGAGCCTTTGAGTTTCTCTGCACTGGACTAAAGCTTGAAGTATTCGAGAAAAAAATGCATTGTAAACAATACAGTAAACGATGTTACATTTATATGGTATATTTTCAGCTAAAAGTGTGCTGAGAGATTTAATTTATAAATTGATTATTCCTCTGTTTAGCAGAAAAATTATCTGTTGTCCATCTTTTTTTTGTAATTGTATACACAAAGATTAAATAAAAAGCAATTAAAACTACTCAGTTGCTTGTTCGTTGATATAATAATAATAATAATAATAATAATAATAATAAATGTAAGAAAAGTTCAACAAATGCGAGACACGTGACCTCACACTCACTAATTTTCGCGCCAGTGTATTCACGCAAGTACGCTTGACCTTTACTACTAACCTGTGTGACTGGCATATTATTCTTTCATTATGGGGGGTTGTATGTCAAGAAAAGAGATCCCTGATGAAATTTATAGATATTGGTCTGCTGTAGCATCTTCTCTTCGCCTCGGCTGGCTTGGGACGAATAACGTGAGGACGGTTAGTGCTACTAGCTAGTTAAAGCGAAGTAAAGATTAGAGTAACGTTAATTTGTTTATTATTGAACAAACGAGCTAGCTAGTATGCTGAATGTAATAATTAAGTTGGTAGTAAGTCAGAGTTAGTATGACTAGGTGCGTGGTGATATAATTAAACAAACTGTAAAATAAAATGTAAATGTCATCAAGTAACTGGCTAAGTTACCATTTTCAAATTGCTTTATTTTATTCAGGAGATGAAAGCGTGCCAACTTGCTCTTTTCCCTAATCTGTTGAACTCCTCAGCTGTAGAAGAAGATATACTTGGCCTGGAGGAACATCTACGAGAGGTAACGTTACTGAATCCATGTCTGTAGAAATATCAACATGATTGCTTGTTTCCTGTCATGTCTGTAACTTACTAGTCTGATGTGCAGCAGAGTTTTGATATTTGCTATAAGGTAGCTCTGGTATGTCACTTTATTGTCACTTCCATTTTAACCAGATCTGCATCTCTAGTTTGCAGTTAGTGCATTCACAGTGGTCTCTTGAGTATATCATTACATACTACACATAGGAAAAATTAAATATTTTTGATTCTTTATTTATATCAGCAGTGTAGAGGGAGATTGCAAAGAGCCTTAAGTGAGATATTAAGAGCCTTAAATAAGATATTAAATGGTTAGTTAGTCTAGGTATAACCTGCATAATACAAATGTCAGCCTGGAATGCAAGTTAAAGGACTAGACAAATGCTTTATGTTTTATAGCTTCACCTGACCTGGTTTTAGAAACTTTGTAGGAATATAGGATCAGGCCGAAGATGGTTTGACCACCTCATGCAACCTCACAAGATTTTGCATGTTTAAAAGCTAATTCTGTACTTGTTTTAAACATTAATTGGTGTTATCAAAGTTTATTTGATATATAGAGTTCAGTTTATGATTACATAACAGTGCTCTCAAATCGATTAATTGCAATTAATCGCATCCAAAATAAAAGTTTGTGTTTACATAAAATATGTGTGTACTGTGTATATTTACATGTGTATATAAATACATACACATACATGTATATATATCTGTTGTTCAGATATTGACCAATATTTATTTTTAATATTTATTTTTATGAGTGTAAAAGTCTGGAAATAAAAATAACATCAAAAAAGTGTGGGCTTAAAGGGTATATACACCATAAATGTATATTTGTGGATTTTTCTTATGACAGGGTGCTGATGTCTCAAGTAGTGATGAGCGAGGTCGGACACCTCTTCATGTGGCAGCAGGAGAAGGCCATTTAAACGCTGTTCGCTTCTTGCTGCAGCAGGGAGCAGATGTGAATGCCACTGACTTTTATGAAGAAACTCCACTTCGAGATGCCATACGCTGCAAGTACTTATCACATTTGTGTGCTTTACTGGATGTACATTGCATAACAAGGTCAGAAATGAACTTATCCATATAAGGGGGAATATTTGCCCCCTGGAATTGATTTCAATGGGCATTTTTTGCCTTTGTATGGGCAGTTTTTATAATTACCTTATTAATTGTTTCTGTGTTGTTTTTATGTTAGTTAAATGTAATCATTTACGTAAATATATTAGAATAATATACCAAAACAAAAGCCATCTTTTAACTGCAAAGGTAGAACAGAAATCACATCTGACATGGCATTTATGTTTATTTACACAGACTGTTTAATGTTGCTCAAATATGGCTTACATGTATTTTCACTACAAATGCATAATATACAGTAAATAGACTACATAAAGGATATAAAATATATAAAAAAACAGGAGCTCCTTACATGGTAGGGCTGCAATTTTATGACTACATTTTTGTTGTTGATTAATGCTCTTGATATTGTAAGAATGAGTCTCGTTCCCTACTCAGGGAACCATGGTTACATAAGTAACCTGAGACGTTATTAATGTTGATTAATAGATTACATGCAAAACATGTTTTTGTGTTTGGGGAAACAGCCCATCATACTCTGGCTATACAGTTAAGAAGCACTTATAAACATTTATTGCTTTTTTTGCATTAGCAAATCAAGACTACATATTACTTATTTTAGTTGCTTGAAAAACAAAACAGCTATTTAAACGGGGAGTAAATTAAAAACAGAAAGCAAGCATAAAACACTGAAGCACTTTGCATCTAAAGCAAATTATGCACACTTGAAAAAACTCCTTTTCTAATCATTGAAGCTGTCTACACTGTGCAAAGAATTTCTTACATTGAATTTGCACTCATGGTTTATAATGAAAAATTTATGAGAGTGCAGAATTCAGTCAGTGATTTGCCACTGCATTCATAAGTTCAACAGAAATATGTGTGATTGTTTAAAATGCTGCCAAAAAAAAACACATAAAAAGAAATGTGATGCAATTTGAACAGATCTAGATTAGGACTGCTCCGATTGATCGGCTACCGATCACTATCGGCTAAAAAGCTTATAAAGTCATTTGAAAACCTTGTGAGAGACGTAATTTCACAAACAGCGTGAGTGAATCACCGCGCGCTCTCTCAAAATATGCAAATGGCTTCAAATCACCACATCGCGTCTGTCTATAAGCGAGCTGCACGCTGCACAGTTGACACAGGAATTGTCACTCGTACAATCGAGGCAGTGTCACATCGTCACTAAAGTTCATATATTGCATTACTTTTTAATTCTTGCCAGTGTTTAACCATTCAGCGCTCGCGCGCTCTCCTGGAGACCGTGCGCTCACGCACACTCGCAGCGCACACACATAATGCCAGGTTCTCATTACTTCGTTTGCAGTGCGTATGTGGTGTGTATTTGTCTGCAGCAGTGCAGAGATTGTTTTCACACCGAGTCTGTTTGCTGCGCTGCAAGCGCTGAATTAAAGTAACTGCGCATTGTTTGCAGTATATATGA